GCAGTTACTAAAAATTAAAGAACAATGTTTATAATCAGTATATTCTGGAATCTGGCAAGTTTTTCTTTTCAGTTAGAAATCTTCATTAACCAGCATTGTATTTCTTGAGATATACAATTATAAGTCTTTATGAAGAATTACTTAAAATATCTTCTAATTTTTTAGAATTACACTGAAGACAATTATTGGCTCCATTTTCTGCAAAAAATGCTAATCTTTGAAGGCAGATATAGAGTAACTGTTATTAAGAAGATTGAATTAATTTGAATATCCCATTTCCTGACCTATACATCAAAGAGTGTTCATAGTATATGTGCACAAATTTTTGTGTAACATAAGATAGGTTCTATTTTGTTGTTTTGTTTGTTAAAATAGTATATAGTCACTCAGGTCAATAAATTTTGAAAAACTTGTTATTTAAATAAAGGGAGTCATGTATATTTTTGCAAAATCTCAATATTAAAAAAAATGAAAAATGAATGTTTTTTATGTAAAGTATTGAAATATATATTCCATTATTAAATGTAATTTTTCCATATGTTAAGAAACAAGGACAAATGAGCCAGAAAATTAGAGGGCTGAAATGTGCTAAGGGCCTATTTCTCAGAAGACAGCAACTGCATTTAAGACATTTTGATGAATAATTAAATTACATCTTTCACAGAAAACAATTAACATTCTTCTTGGCAGGTGGTGCCAGAAAGTGTTAACTACTATACTTCAATATTGAGAATATCTACCAGAGAGGTTAAACTAAACTAGCTCTATGAACCCAAGACTTGCCTATGCAAGCAACTTAAAATTATTTTGAAGAATATTCGAATAAAAAGACAAGCTGGTGAGTAGCTCCAACAAAGGTTGTATAAAATAATTATGCTACAAATATTGTAAAATAAATTGAATTTTATAACATTTCTTGTTTAGAAATTTATAATTCAGATGTAATTTATATCCAGGCTTAGCTATTTTAAGATGACTACTAATACTGTATGTATAAATTTCAGTTGAAAAGATTCCCAATATTCATCTCCTGGGAGTGATTTAATTGAATATGTACACACACACACACACACACACACATTCATATATATGTGTGTGGGGGGTACTGTGCATACACAGTGGCAGACCTCATTTTGTATAGTAATGCAAGGCTGTGAAAATGTCCACACAATCTGAAACTGTGAAAAATGATAGTGATAATAAGAAAAGTTAAAAATTATCTCTTACATATAAACTATTTGTCAAAACATTAAAAACTCCCTTAATGACAGTTTTAAATGTATAACCAATGAAAAATTTTATAAAACCATTATTTTTATAACATACATTAAATTTAAACCATCAGAAACATTGAGAATTAAAGTGTTTCTTTCTAAAAAAAAAAAAATGTCAAGAGTGGCTTGAAAATCACATGCTTTCTTATAACTTAACAGAGGAATCAGAGCTACCATCATTTTGAAGACTTGGAATAGCCACACTTCTAAGTTTCTATGTGCTTATGACATTTTATCTTTTGTTGTTTTCAATACTGTGAAATCTCTGAGTGTCTTTTAATGTGCTGGTTTTTTGGCAGCACTTCCTCTGGGACAATGCCATCCTTTTTGTTGCCATCACTGTCTTATCCATGTCAATAAGTTTACTTTCCATAAACCTCTAGATTCTCTCCAATGTTAGCCATGTCAACATTTCCACAGTCAGCTATTTATTCTATATACCTATTTTCATGTGATTCAAATTTTACTTCGAGCTTTATCATGTTTTTTTTTTCCATTTACTGCACTTTGATCTTTGTTGGAAAGTTGTGTCTTTTTATTATCCATTTTTTGATAAAATATCTCATGGGTTTATCACCACAAAACTAGGAGCTGAGGCAGCTACATTGTTGTATGCCTCTAGGAAAACTGAGTTACAGATGTGCAGTGATCAATCATTGGCCAACATTGAAAGAAGAGCATGATTATTTCTTGATCATGAGGCATGTCTGATAGTTATACAGTGAAATGTAGAGTGAACAAAAGCATTGAAATTTGTACCCGTGTTAGTCAGTTTTGTGTTGTTGCTGACCAATATACCCAAAAAGAACAACCTGAGAAGGAAAACTTTATGTTGGCTCACAATTTCAGGGGTTCAGTTCATAGTCAGTGGACCACATTATTCTGGGTCTAAGGTAAGTCCAAACATCATCATGGAAGATGTGGCAAGGGAAGGCAGATGAGAATATTCAAGCTCAGAGCTTGAATATAAAGAGCCAGGAATAATATAATTCCCAAAGTTACCCTACACTCCCACCCTGCAGCGACCTACTTTTTCCAGCCATACCCTGCTTGCCTACAATTAACACCAATTAATCCATTCAAATTATTAATCCATCTAATGGATTAATACATTGATTAGATTATAGCTCTTATAATCTAGTCATTTTACCTCTGAATATACCTGAATTTTCTCAAAGATGAGCTTTCAGGGGACATAGTACATCCAAAGCAAAATAGTGTTTTATTAACTTACTTACAGATACATACTGTGATAGTTGAAATTTGGGTAGTACTATTGGTAAGCTCATGTTGCTTAATTCTAGTAACTGAATTTTCTGCAAATAAGAAATTATAAAAAGATTTGAATGCCTATAAATTTCTTATTTTTCCATCATTATGCATGAGTAATGGCTTGTTATTAGATATTTAAATATAATAAAACTTGAAGCAAATTGACTTTAGATGTAATATATGTGAATTAACCTTGAGGACACAAATAAAGCATTCAATGTTTAATAAACATGGTAACTAGAAAAGACAATTAGAAATACACCCTTCTCTTGTATTGCTTGGAAACTACTCTGAAAATTAAAATCCATCCACACAAGACTGAGAAACAGCCTAAAAAGCAGGCAGAGTAGCATGGTCAAAGTATCCGGACTACACAAAATCCTGTGGTTATCATTATAGGCTTGTGAGTTTTGATTTAGTAAGGAAAAATTTTCATTGGAATTGTTTTATATGAGAATTAACATGAGCATAATGTACAAAATAGATTGTAGGTTTTGTGAGATTTCTTAGGAGGCTATGTTGTTATTTTAGTAGGGCACAGGATTATTCCTGAGAAATAGTTATTGAGGCAATGACAGAAATAATGGAGACATGAAAATTACAGAGGTATAGGAGTTAGGACTTGTCATCTATTTATTTAGAGATTAAAAAAAGAAAAAGCAATCATTTAAAGACAACTATGGTTTCAACTTTTAATAATTTTCCAAAACCTGAAAATATATTGATCTTCACCAGATACCAGTGATGTTTAATGCAGCTCATTTGAATCGAGTAAAAACAATTATAAGGTTATCTCTCAAAGTTGCACAGGTCATCGTTTATAGTTATTCATCTCTGATGGATCACTTAATTTATAGACAATCATAAAAAGAAATGAAAAACAAGTGGTAAGATCTACTTACCCCTTTAAATTGTATGCATATAAAGTGTATAGCACATTTTAGGCAATATAAGCTTTTCATTTTTTTTTTAATGCAGAGGTAATCCCAAATATTTATTTAAAAAATAAATTTTTCAAGAAGAACAGAAAAAATAGATGTGTTCTATAATTTTTTTCTTATGAATATTTAAAATATTTAGAGGCAACTTGAATTCCTCTATTTTCATCTTCATGAGATTCTTTATAATAGAGTTAACAAATCAAGACTTTCCAATCTTCTCACATCATGGTCTTGGAAAATCAAAAGTGTGTTGTGCATATTTCTTGTATTTTTTTAATCTGTTTGTCATCAGTGATCATATGGTTCATATATTCTGAGCCTCACTAATGCCATAGTACCTCTTGCCTTCATTTTAAAGTGTGTGCTTGCCAACTTTTGTCTGCAAAGGAAAGCTTTTATAAATTCCAACTTAGTATGGCAATGTTAAAACTCAGAAAATGTATAACAATAGAAGCTGAGCATCCGGGAATGACTTAAGAAGGAGGGTGAATACTTGAATACTTGGCAATATTAGAACAATATTGTCAATAAGGGGTTATTAATGTTCTTGTTATCAGAATCCATTTTTCCTAACGGCCATAATATATTATTTTATAAGTCAAGCATTTAAACATTGTGCATGATTACATTTTGTACCCCAAAGTACTGGTGTTTTAACAAACTAGAGGGAGTCAGATATACTCAGCTCTGGCATATATTAGAGTAGACAAGACATTTCTGCCAACACCAACACATGTTTTGGGAAGCATGGTTCAGCATATTGAAGCTGGAGAAACCTGATGTCTAATTCTGACTCTGTCTTTCACTAAACTATATGATCAAGGAAGAATAAGAGTACTATGCTAGCTTCAGATACTTTTTATAATTTGGGATAATAACAATTCTATTTAAGTCAGAGCTTGATGATAAAAATTGAGGAAGGAATATAAGCCTTATTTTATAAATGCATGCATAAATTGCTATTAAAACATAAGTATATATTATTATTATGATGAATATTTATAAGTAATTCTTTTATATTAGAAAATACAACATGTATAACAATCTTCACACTTATAAAACTCTTTCATATAATTTTTGATGACAGAGGTAAAATTAAAGAAGGACCAACAATAGTCCAGGCATGGTGGCACATGCCTGTAGTCCCCACTACTCAGAAGACTAAGGTAGAAAGATCACTTGAGTTTATGAGTTTGAGCCCAGCCTGGTGATACAGGAAGACCCCCATCTCAAAAACAAAGTGTGTGTGTGTGTATATATATATATATATATCCAACATGGAGAATAAATAGGGCATTAAAGAAATTTCGGAAATTTCTGGACTTCCAGTTTACTTTCTGTTCTACCACTTGAAGAGATTGGTGACATTTTGTCTTAACAGAAAGTAGAAGGGTGAAGAGACTGGGAAATGAGCACACAGTCAATTAGAGCCCTAGAAGAAACAAGGTCATAGGGAAAACCATGTCCTAAAATTGGAAAGCCAAACAGGTAAAGACAGAGCATTGCAATTTACCTGAATAGAAATCTCCACAGGAAAACAAGCCAGGATAGGAATATGTGAACTGCAGTTGATGATTTGCAAAGGTCTCGGTGTGAACAAATCTGAGAGATAAAATCTCCATAGGGACCCCATTATGGTGCTAGGGGCCCACACATCTGTGAGTCTTCTGTTCTTGAGTTCTACCAATTTCTCATGGTGAATAGTAAAGAAAACTTTATTCCTGCTCCTGGAAGGAAAAGAGAAAAAAGAACAATCCTGAAGTTAGTCAGAGTAGCCTATTCTTAATAGTGTCTGCTCCTTGGATAAACTATTGAATCAGAAACCAAACTATTTAAGTTTTTCAGAGTTCAACCTACCTTGTGGAAGAGAAATACCCAATTTTAGTCAACTTTAGTATTCCATTTCGAGGAAGAAAACTATATAATTTCAATCCCTTTAGCTTTCTTTGAGAGAAGGGAAATATTCAACTCTAGCCCAGTGTATCATGCAAGGTACAAAAAGACCAAAAATGACAGATTGAAGAGACAGGTCATCAAAGTCAGATGCAGACATTGCAGAGATGTTAGAATTATCAGACTGATTTTAAAACAACTATAATTAATAAGCTAAAAGCTTTAATGGATAAAGTAGATGACATGCAAAAACAGATAGGTAATTCAAGCAGAGAAGACATTTTAAGAAAGACAGAAAAGAAATTCTAGATAGTCAAACCACTGTAACAGAAATAAAGATTGTCTTTGATGGACTTATTAATAGACTGGACAAAACTGAGGGAAGAATTTTTGAGGCTTGAAGCAATCTTGTATTAGTCAGCTTTTCGTTGCTATGAACAAAACATCTAACAAGAGCAATTTAGAGGAGAAAAAGTTTATTTAGGGCTTGCAGTTTCAGTAGTTTCATTCCAGAGTCTACTGATTCTATTGCTCTGAATCCAAGGTAAGGCAGAACATCATAGCAGAAGGGAATGGCAGATAAAAACTGCTCAGTTTATGGTAGCCAGGAAGCAAAGTGGGTGAGGGGTGGAGAGAGATGGGGGCTGGTGGGACAAGATATAATCCCCAAAGGCACCCTCCCAGTGAAACACCTTCTTCAGTCACATCCTACCTGCCTACATATGCCACTAAATACAATAGTCCTTTCAAATTATTAATCTATCAAGTGGATTAATTTACCAATTAGGTTATGGCACTCATAATCTTCTCATAAACTTTCATGGGACACCTCATATCCAAACTATAACACATCTCAA